GTACAGACTCCATTGAAAATTTGACAAACAGGCTACTTGGGAGAAGACACTGTGACACAGCTGGTTGAGCTGCCTCTTTGGACACCTGTATCTCCTACCAGAGTGCTGCTTCACACCCTGGCTACCATGTACTTCTCATCCAGTTTCCTGCTAATGCAGCAAGGAAGGCAGTGGATGATGGCTTAGGTACTTGGCTCTGGGAGACCTAGATGGAGTGTTGGGCTCCTGGCTTTGGCCTGGTCCAACCCTGGCTGTTGCTGGCATTTGGGGAGTGAACCAGCAAATGGAAGGTCTCTCCTCTCTCTCTATGTCTTTCCCTCTCTTTCCATCATTCTGCCTTCCAAATACATAAATAATATTTTTTAAAAAAAGGCTTTGTGGTCAAAACTAGTAGATTCCTTATCAGGTTAATTCTTTGATCTGTTCAATTTTAGTTGTTATGGCTCATGGGTATCCTGCCTAAAGTACACACTCCAAATTCTTGGTATTATCCTCCTGACGATCATATTAGAGGTCTCCCTGATGCACCGTGTCCTCTCAAAAGTTTTAAACGGGGAGCAGGCATTTATCCTAGTTATTAAGATGCCTGTGTTCCTGGTTCTGGCTTCTGACTCCAGCTTCCTGGTAGTTCAGAATCTGATAGGCAGCAGGTGATGGCTGTAGTGATTGGGTTCTGCCACCCACGTGGGGACCTGAATGGGGTTCGCAGCTCCTGGCTCCAGCTCATCTCAGCCCTGGCTGTTACAGACATTTGGGGGAATGAACCAGCAGGTGGGAATGCTTGCTGTTTCTCATATTTCTCTGCCTCTCAAATTAAAAAAAATCAAAAATTTCAATGTTGCATTCAGCCATCTGTTGAATATCTATTGGTCTCCTTTCTGGAATGATAAAAACTCCGAGAAATAGATAATAATGAGGTTACTGTGATGTGTTGAGACTGGAAACCCCAAATTATGGTAACAAAGAGTAGTGTTAATGCCCTAAATTTTGGTCAGATTCTCAACGAGGTGAAAGCCTAACCAAAAGACTGGAAGTTTTAAGCAAAAAATATAGAAGACATTGTTTTGGACTGCATTCCTGCTCTAGATGTTGATGGACCAAATCAAACCAAAATAGAGAAGACACTCATGTTAAAAGTCACATCATCACACTAAATGTTAAAAAAATAGAGTTGAAAACAGACTTTTTTTTTTCCTGGACATTACAGCCTGCCAGTGTTCTACAGTCAGCATAACCAGGAAATCCTCTTTGACTTAATATTTTAAAACACGAACAACCTGATACTAACCTGAGCAACCTGATTTTAGCCACTTATTTTCTGTTGCTCTGTCTCTTTGTTTCTTCTTCATGAGGCTAATTGTTCCAGCCTTGCCCAGAGGGAGCTCTCATCCCACTTTGCAGGATGGATACTGTCCAAATGTATGAGTTAGGAATAAAAATTCAATTTATAACTAAATATGTTGTAAATTTGTCTTTTGACATCTTTCTGGAGAGCAGGAAAATCAGTGCAAACAGACTTCATAAACCCAGGAAGATATTATATGCAACAAATGAAAAGGTTTGGGAGCCGGTATCGTTGTGGCAAAGTAGGTTAAGCAGCTGCCTGCAACGCCGACATCCCATTTCAGAGCACATATTCGAGTCCTGGCTGCTCTTCTTCTGATCCAGCTCCCTGCTAATGTGCCTGGGAAAACAGCAGAAGATGGAAAACCCAGATTGAATTTCCAGACTCCTGGCTTCAGCCGGGCCCAGCCATGGCCATTTGAGGAGTGAACCAGTGAGTGAAAGATCGCTTTCTCTCTCTCTCTCTCCCTCTGTCTCTATCACTGTTCCTTTCAAATAGATAAAATGATTTTTAAAAACAAAAAACAAAAACACCCCCCAAATGAAAAGGATTGTATCTAGAATCTGTAAAGAATTCCTACAAATAAAGAAGAAAAAGGTAGGCAACTCTATCTTTTAGAAACAGGCGGAGATATTTTAACAGGTGCTTCACAATAAAGCAAAATTCAAATGACCAATAAATATTTGAATAGACCTTCAACTAAAGTAGTAAGAAAAGGAATGCAAGATAAAACTAAAATGAAATAATTCTACATGTTCCAAGAGAGTATGCAGTTAAGACAGACAATACCCATGTTGATGAGGATGTTAAGTAGTTGAAATTCTCATATTGTGTTCATGAAAGTACAAATTGGAAAAACCACCTTGGAAAGGTGTTTGGCCATATCTACTACAGTGTAACATGTACATACCACAGGGCCAAGAAAGTGAACTCACAGGTATATAACAGTATATCCAACAGAAAGGCGTGCATGTGTGCACCAGAAGACAGACAAGACGGTTTACAGTAGCAGCATTTAAAATAGCCAAAAACTGGAAACAGCTCAAACATCCAGCAACAGTAGAATAGACAAATAAATAATAATGGAATACTGTGATAAGATGAATATGAGCAAATAACAACTTCACACCACAACATGGGCGAGTCTCACAAAACTATTGCGTGAAAGAAGACACATAAAAAAAACCACATGATATCTGATTACTTTTCTATAAAATTCAAACTCAGGCAATAATTAACCATAGTGTCATAAGTCAAGGTGCTGGCCACCTTTCAAAAGAAGACAAGGCAGTAGTGGCAGGGTTGGGGCATGACAGGGAGTTCCCAGGGTATGAGAATTTCTATTTCTGGGTTTGCACTGGGACTGCACAGGTGTATTTTTTTAAAACTTTTATTGAACACATGATTTGTGTGCGTATTTTCATGGATGTTATAGTTTAACTTCCTGGAAACTTTTGGTTGATTCATAAAGATATGTTATCCTTTTTTAACAGTTAAAAAGCTACCCTTGGAGGAGGTTGGTTAATGGGTATCAAAACACACGTAGAAAGAATAGGCTCTAGTATTCTATAGTTCCCAATAATAGTGTGTAAAGAATTGAGAGGAAGGGCGGCGCGGCTGGCGCCCGCGCGTCTGCATGGCCGCCGCGCCGGAGCCCGGCGAGCCCGGGAAGGGGAAGGGCTTCCTGTGACTCCACGAAGCAGACTAAGGTGTTTCTTTCCTCTTCAACCCTGGTGTCGTCTGTAGCATTATCATTCCAGCATTTAGCATAGTGGGAAGAATACCTACTGAGTGTTGGGCACTAAACCAGGTACTGAGGATCAAGCCCTGATCAAAACAGCCTTTTAAACTCCTAGGAATTTTAGATGTGGAAAACATTCCCTGTGCACGGGACTCAATATTATACGGCTCACTGGGATCTGCTGTGGCTGGCCTAGGACATTTTTTGTTTACTAGTAGAATCAGAAGATCATGCGATGTTGGAGTAGGAGGATTTATCTTGGTGACTTTGGGATGCTGGTTCCATTGCAGGTACAATTATGCAAAGCAACGAATCCAGGAAAGGATTGCCAGAGAAGGAATTAAAAACAAGATTTTATATGAAAGTACCCACCTTGATCCTGAAAGAAAAACCAACAGCAGTGGTAGCAATTAAGTCTGAAGTACAGAAAACCAAACACAGCTGCCTCAAGAGTTGGGATCGACCACAGAAACATCTTATGTACAATAAGAAAGCTTTAAGCAAGTAAATAAACTATGTTTTAGTTGTCTTTTTTTTTTTTTACACTTGCATAAAAATCTGCCGATGTATTCCGGTCCCACCTCTATCGCCAGGGTAGCATTCCTGTGTGTAACATACTGTTGTGATCTGCTGTATCCAGACAAAGAATTACAAAACCCAGTGTTTAACAGGCTTGGAAAAGAATTCTTAAAGTAAGCAGTGAATTTAATGATGAAATTTCAAGAAATAAAATACCTACACTTGGAAAAAAAAAAAAAGAATTGAGAGGAGCAAAGAAAAGGTAAGGAAGTGGAAATGCTATCTGCCTGCTTTGATCAGTACACAGTACATTATGTATGAAAATATTGTACTGTATCCCATAAAAATGTCTGAGTACTAATGATCCAAAAATCTTTTTTTTTTTTTTTTTTTACAGGCAGAGTGGATAGTGAGAGAGAGAGGCAGAGAGAAAGGTCTTCCTTTTTGCCGTTGGTTCACCCTCCAATGGCCGCCACGGCTGGCGCGCTGCGGCCGGCGCACTGCGCTGATCCAAAGCCAGGAGCCAGGTGCTTCTCCTGGTCTCCCATGGGGTGCAGGGCCCAAGGACTTGGGCCATCTTCCACTGCTTTCCCAGGCCACAGCAGAGAGCTGGATCAGAAGAGCAGCAGCCGGAACTAGAACCGGTGCCCATAAGGGATGCCGGCACTTCAGGCCAGGGCTTTAACCTGCTGTGCCACAGTGCCTGCCCCAATAGATATTTTTTAGAAGCCACTCTGGAATTAAAATCAACCCCTCCCTTTAACTTGATTATTAAGAAATTAGGGTTTCTCTGTCAAACTCTTTCATTGCTCTTGGAATAAAACTGGATTTCTGAATTAAGACTGTCAGATCACCCACTTTTTAAGTCGAGTCAGAAATTATGTTTTCATGTTAAATCTCTGACTGTTAATATCAACAGCCCATTCATCTGTTTTAACAAAACACATCCGTAATTGAAACTCCAGTTTTGACCGACAGACACATGAGGAAATGCCTTCCCCTGGAGGCTTCTTGCCATAACCAAGCACCCAAAAGAAGCACCAAGGGCTCACTGCAGAAAGGCGCAGAAAGGAAAACACCACTGAAGGATGGGAGAACAGAGAGCAATGTGCGTCACCCGCTTTTTAATTTTTTTGGTCTCCATTGTTATTTCACTGGAGCAACCTAGATTTTTGTGGGTTTTGTTTGTTTGTTTGTTTTTAATCTGAGTTTATGTTTTAGATTGCCCACCAGACCCCAATACCCAACTGGCTCACCCTTTTTCTTAGAATGATGTGCCCCACTCTCATGGGCTATTCCTGGAGTTGCACAGGGGTGTGGCTAAGGAAACTAATAAAGCCAACTAACCAACCCGACACATGAAGCTGCACAGAGAAGAAATGTGTCAGTACTCACCCAAGCCAGAAAGACCAACCCCAACATCAGAATTTTGTATCTCTTGAATTGCTCCATGAAGGGACTCATGCAGCTGAGCTCGTCTGTCCTTGCGGATGTGAATCAGGAGTCCAAGTGGCAAACAAAGCAACAGGAGTCCAGCAGGCCCTCCCAAGATAAACCTTGAACTTTTCCTGGCAGCTTGCCCATTTCCGTGACTTTTGTTGATGACATGTACATATTTCACCCAGTACTGTAATTGTTTCAACCTTTGTACATATCAGGAATCCTCAAAACTCTCCCTATCAAGCCTCAGTTTCCTCTTCCATTTTTGGGGTCTCACTTCTGAACTAAGGAATCGTCTCAGCTCCCCACAGGAAAACAGAGTCCATTCTGGAGTGTCAAGAACCTCCCAGGTTCTTTGCACTAAACTTGGCTTACACGTCACGGGAACTGTCTCTTTTACAACTGTTTTAGACTCACCAATAGACAATAATTCCTATATTCAAAAGCAATCTATGGGAAAACCTACGGTTTTTCATTCACTTGTTAATTTAAAAGATTTTTTTTTACTCAAAAGGCAGAGAAAGATGGGGTAGAGAGGGAGAGAGAGAGAGAGAAGAATGAGTGAGCCCATCTGCTGGCTTATTCTCCAAATACACACAATGTCCAAAGCCAGAAGGCAGAAGCTTAATTTAATCCAGGTCTCTCACATGGGTGACAGGGACCCAACGACTTGATCCATCTCTACTTCCTTCTAGGATTTGCAGTGGCAAGAAGCTGGAACTGGTAGCCAGAGCCAGGACTTGGAACCCAGGCACTCTGCTACGGTATGCAGGTGTCTTAACCAGCCTCTTAAATGCTGGACTGAACTCCCGCCCCATACTTGTAAATTTTTATAGAGTGTATTTGGTGTTCATGGTAGTTATGTTAGAGTTGGATTGCTCTTGCCACCCCAAAAACGCTCCAAGAGACCTTCTCTCATGCAATTAACAAAGGGTAAGGTTTATTGATGATCCGACATGTCGGGGCCCCCGTCTCAGTACAGGCGAGTGGCCTCAAATAGTCTTGGGTTGGGGTTTTTATACACGTTTAAACAAAGAAAATCAATCATTGCATAGATCAGACAGTGGTATAGAGTAAACAATTGATACAAGTTAAGTGATTTTACAACCAGTTGATTTATGAATACAGGGAGTACAGGATATCAAGTAAGGGCTTGATTAGACCTCAGAGAACCATATGGCCTATAGAGGGAGTATCAAAAAACCTCCTATTGCCAAAAGGGAGGGCCACACAACAAACACAACAAGGTTGCAGGAACTGCCTTGATGATACCTAGGAATGCAGCCGAATGGCGACAAGGGACACATAGTGGGGTCAGGGTTCCAGGAAGCAAAGAGATAAACAATGACTTCTTCTGTCTTACTTAGGTGAAACTAAGGTTATGCTTACATTGGCGTAATTTACTGACTAACTAACTTTAAAGAGAATGGCTCTGCAGAGCAAGTTTGACGAGGTCAGGAAAGTTCACCAGAGGAGGGGAGGAGGAGTGGGAGCGGCTTTTAACTTTTTAACCCTTCAGTTACTTTACTTGTGTACCAGGATACATAAAAAGTTCACAGAGAGATGGTGAAGGCAGGGATTTGGCCCAGTGGTTAAGATGCCACTGATGAGGAGGGGTCAGGGTTGTGGTACAGCAGGTTAAGCCACTCCCATATAAAAGTGCCAGTTCGAGTCCCAGCTGCTCTGCTTCCAATTCAGCCTCCTAGTAATGTGCCAAAGAAATCAGTAGATCATGACCCAAGTGCTTGGTCCTTGCACCCATGTGGGAGACGTGGATGGAGTTCCAGGTGTTGTGCCTGAGCAAGTGCAAAGAGAGGAGCACCGCACATTGATAAAATTTGTCAGGTCCTTTATTGCTGGCAGTGGAGAAAGGGCTCATGCCCTACAGAACTCTCAACCTCGAAGCTCAAAGCAACAGGGTTTATAAAGGCAAAAACCACAAGGAGGGGAGGGGGAATACACGGTTGCTAGGATCGGGGTTGGGGGAAATACATGGTTGCTAGGGTCAAGCTGACCTAAGGCCTATGTGAAACTAATATCAATTACAATCTTGAAAATAGACAGATTACAGTCTAAACATTAATCCAGGTACAGCCTATCTGTTTTAAGCTTGAGCAACCATGCTAGGGAAATTCTGTGTTCTGCCAAGTGGGATGCAGTGCACTGTTATTGTCTAAGTTTTAGACCATAGTTAGTTTCAGACCATGGTGTGGGGTGCTTTCTCAAGATGGCATCTCATGGGGTTGGCACTGTGGCGCAGCAGGTTAACGCCCTGGCCTGAAGTGCTGGCATCCCATATGGTCGCCAGTTCGATACCCGGCTGCTCCTCTTCCCATCCAGCTCTCTGCTACGGCCCAGGAAAGCAGCAGAAGATGGCCCAAGTCCTTGGGCCCCTGCACCCACGTGGGAGACCCAGAAGAAGCTCTTGGCTCCTGGCTTCGGATCAGTGCAGCTCCGGCCGTTGCAGCCAATTGGGGAGTGAACCAGAGGATGGAAGACCTCTCTCTCTCTCTCTCTCTCTCTCTGCCTCTCCTCTCTCTGTGTAACTCTAACTTTCAAATGAATCTTAAAAAAAAAAAAAAAAAGAATACGGCATCTCGGGTGCTCTAAAATGGAGTCCCTACTCTCAAGGTGTTACTTCATAGGCTCCTGGCTTCCCCCTGGGCCAGCCCCGGCCACTGTGGCCAGGTGGGGAAGGAACCAGCAGATGACAGATTTTCTCTCCTCTCCCCTCACACCTCCCCCCATCACTCTGTCTTCCAAATAAATAACAGATGTTTTTTAAAAAAAATGGGAGGCCGGCGCCGCGGCTCACTAGGCTAATCCTCCGCCTAGCGGCGCCGGCACACCGGGTTCTAGTCCCGGTCGGGGCACCGGATTCTTTCCCGGTTGCCCCTCTTCCAGGCCAGCTCTCTGCTGTGGCCAGGGAGTGCAGTGGAGGATGGCCCAGGTGCTTGGGCCCTGCACCCCATGGGAGACCAGGAAAAGTACCTGGCTCCTGGCTCCTGCCATCGGATCAGCGCGGTGCGCCGGCTGCAGCGCGCCGGCCGCGCCGGCCATTGGAGGGTGAACCAACGGCAAAGGAAGACCTTTCTCTCTGTCTCTCTCTCTCACTGTCCACTCTGTCAAAAAAAAAAAAAAAAAAAAAAAAAAAAAAAAAAAAAAAAGGGAGATTCAGAAGAAGGTCTTGCCTCTTGGCTTTAGCCTGGCCCAGCCCCAGCTGTTGTGGCCACTGGGAGAGTGGATAAGCATATGGAAGACCTCTGTCTCTCTCTCTCTCTCTCTCTCTCTCTCTCTGTAACTCTGCCTTACAGTTAAATAAAATAAATATTTATTTGGGGCTGACGCTGTGGCGTAGCAGATAAAGCTGCCGCCTGCAGTTCTGGCTTCCCATATGGATGCCAGTTTGAGTCCTGGCTGCTCCACGTCCGATACAACTCTCTGCCATGGCCTGGGAAAGCAGTAGAAGATGGCCCAAGTCCTTGGGCCCCTGCACCTGCATGGGAGACCTGGAAGAAGCTCCTGGCTCCTGGCTTCAGATCGGCACAGCCCCGGTGTTGCAGCCAACTGGGGAGTGAACCAGCAGCAGATGGAAGACCTCTCTCTCTCCCTCTGCCTCTCCTTCTCTCTCTGTGTAACTCTGACTTTCAAATAAATAAATAAATCTTTAAAAATATTACTTGAAATTTTAAGTTAATTTAGATAGATCAATGATTCAAGTAAATTATTAAAGTTTTTACTTTAAATAAAATATATAATTTTAATAGACTAAATTAACAACAAATTTTTAAAATTTGGGTTTTTTTTTTTTTTTTGACAGGCAGAGTTAGACAGTGAGAGAGAGAGACAGAGAGAAAGGTCTTCCTTCTGTTGGTTCACCCCCCAAATGGCTGCTACAGCCGGCGCGCTGTGCTGATCCAAGGCCAGGAGCCAGGCACTTCCTCCTGGTCTCCCATGCGGGTGCAGGGCCCAAGCACCTAGGCCATCCTGCACTGCCAGGCAGAGGATTAGCCAAGTGAGCCACAGCGCTGGCCAAATTTTTAAAATTTAAAACCTAAAATGATGATTTGAAACACAAGGTATTGAATTTAAAAGCCAACAGAAGCAGATGTTCAGTATTTCACACAGAAAATGTTACTGCTTTGTGGGCCTCTCAAAAAGTGTACTTTGGACTGTGAAGACTTAAAAAAGAAACCCCACAAAGCAAAAAACCAAAAATCCAAAAACCAAAAGGCATAGGAAATTGCTGAGACAAAAAGAAAAAATGCATTAAAAATGTAAGAAAAATTCATGCTTACATCTTGATAACTTCATTTCTCCCTCAGCCTGCATATCTCTACAAATAATATGTTGCAATATGATCACCTCATTATCTATTATGATTACAAAATGAAGCTAAATACATGAGAGATTGTACTTTAAAATGCAGTGTGGGGCCGGCTCTGTGGCATAGTGTGTAGAGTCACCGCTTGCAGTGTTGGTGTCCCATATGGATGCTGATTTGACTCCCGGATGCTCCACTTCTGATCCAGCTCTCTGCTATGTCCTGGGAAAGCAGCAGAAGATGGCCCAAGTGCTTGGGACCCTGCACCCACGTGGGAGACCCAGAAGAAGCTCCTGGCTCCTGGCTCCTGGTTCCTGGCTCCTGGCTTTGGATCGGCCCAGCTCCATCCATTGCAGCCATTTGGGGAGTGACCCAGCAGATGGAAGACCTCTCTCTCTGCCTCTACCTCTCTGTAACTCTGCCTTTTAAATAAATAAACAATTAGAAAAATGTAGTGTGAACTATTAGACTTTCATTTCTTTAGAAAAACTCCATCATCATCCTTTTGTTTACTACTACTTTAGCTTTCAAAAAAAGCTGTTCTCTCTCCCTCTTTAACAATTTATCCTGGAAATTTTCACACATATGCAAAAGTAGAGATCACTGGTACAATGGACTTGATGTACCCATCACCCAAATTCAGTAATGGTCACTATTTGGCTAATCTTGTTTCATTTCTACCCCTACCTACATACTCTCTTGGCCAATTATACTGTATCAAATCCAAGATATCATATAATTTTATCTCAGTATTTTAGTATATATTTTTATTTCTTAACTAAAATACCATGATCATATC